CATTCTGGTTATTGCTGTTAATAACTTTTATTAATAATGGCAAGAAAACAAGCCCTGTTTAGAAAATCAAAGCCCTTCTCTTCTAAGAGAGCACAAGTGCAAATATTCAAGGCATTTACTCCGATCTTTATTTACATTATATTACTATAGAAATTTTAAACTCATCAAGTTGGAAAAAGGCCGTGAGGAATGTGGAGTGTGTGGCCCTGACAGGGCCACAGCAGTGACTGAGGGGAGGGGCAGAGTCCCTGGAGAGCCCAGTATGGGAGGGTTCAAAGCTAACTGACCCAAGGGGCAAATGGACAGTGCCCACTGACCCTCGCAATTTGTATTTGGCATTCCTAGTCCATTCAAATATGGTGGTCAAGGACAGGAGTGAAAAAGCACATTTTCTTTTTTTAAAAGAGAAAGACAAATGCTATTTTACACAAATTAAAGTTTCTTAAATTTCAATTTTTCCTAAAGAAAATGTATCACACTTTATCAAAATATTATGGTTCTTTATTCCAGTGCCTCATAGAATTTAATCTATATTTGGATGTAAAAATGGTTTAATAATGCAGACTCTTACTATGAATGCTCAGTTTCCTGCAGAATCAGACACATGGATAACATTTGTAAGATTTTATCTTATAATTTAATCCTGTTAGATTTTTCTTCTTCATCATTAGTCTTCTTTAAAAGACATGAATCTCAATTACATAGGTATTTAAAATGCAAATTCATCTTTAAAGGGCAAAGTTTTACCACTACAAATATTCTATGTTGCAAAGACAGATCCAGAGGTAACATCAGAAAAACAACCCTCCGGTCACCAGTTTTTGTTCAGCTACATTGGAAGACCATTTCTTAAACTTGAACAGTTGAAGCTGAAAATGCATAGATCTAGAGATGCTGTTAACTGGCATTCAGCAGAACTGCGCTATGAAAATGAAAATAAGCAGAATGACCCTTAATATTTCTGGCTGCAGAGGGACAGCAGAGTTGTCTGTCGTATGGTAACGATGAGTACTCTGCCAGGGTTTTCCAACAAGCCTTGGACCGGGAGGAGTCCCCTGGAAAAGAACTTGGCTTCCTGTGTTGTTCTCAGAGACCAGTCATCTTCACTTCGAAACCGTCACACTCTCTGTTTAGTTGCTGCAAATTAATCTTTCTACTTGTCAGCTCAGATATTCTCTTAGCCTGCATTTGAAGCACTTCGCATTAAATTGTCTGTGTAATGGTCATATATATAAACTTTGTCACTCTGTCACAAAACTTTCCTTTCTAGATGTAAAATATGAATGTGCGTGAGAATGTGTGTGTATGCGGGTGGGCACCTATGCGTGTTGGGTGATGGTTGTGTGTAAGAAGTTGGTTTTTTGTGATAATTATAACCTTCTACAGGGAAAATGTGCTAATTGATAAAATGTGTCAGTATTTAAGTTTGTTTTTATTATGACATTTGAATCTATGAAAAATTTTCTTACATCCTATTAAGTTTTTTTAAAGGAAATGCTACTTTCTGTGTCAGAGGTAACACAAGACTTCAGTTTTCCTGTTCTTCACTTTGTTTAGGCTTGAGGCTTGGGTGGGGGTTCCTTGTATTGTGTGATTTTCTAAAAGCAGAGGATAGTGGTTTCATATAGTTCTGTTACTTTGAAATTAAGATCTCTTTAACAAAGTCAAATAGAGATTAACATGTGAACAGGTTTATGTGTATATGTTTACATATGCTTATGTGTGTATGTAAGTATACACAGATAAAAAGATCAAGACATACATACATTTCTTTTTTATGGCCAGCCTACTTTTGAGCTAATACCACTGAGATAAGTCAGTGTTTTGTTTTGCTTATGTTCCTAAAACTGGAAAACTTGGGAAGATAATAAAAACACTTACCTGAAATTAAGATCTATTAGGTGTTATTAGACTTCAAAGGCAATTCTAATAGAACTCTTTATATAGTCAAATTCCAGGGAAACTACCTTTAGATAATCAATTTTATTTAGACTTTTCTCCCCATGTTGAGTGGAATTCATATTGAAATGCTGTTTTATGACTTTGATTTTTATCCACCAGGGTAAAAAACTGTTTTGTCCCTCATCATGTGAAAGGACTGTGCGTCCTCTTCAGTCTGATCATTTTCTCCAGACACACCCAGTGTGGGTCCCACTGAGGATGCAGCGGTCATAAACCTTCCTGTGCTCTGACAGAAGCCACAGCACTCCTGAGCAGGAAGATTTAAACAAAGCAAATGCCCAAAGTAATGCCTCCTTTTCATACTTTTGTAGGAATGGGTAGAAGTGGATTTGTTTGAAGACTACCAGTGTCTCATCACTGCTTTCATCCAATTGGTATGGCCTATAAGGACCAATTAATCCAATAATGGCCAATTAATTCTAACGGAAAAATATTCTTTGCACTCATTTCCTCATTTTTGTTCTCACCATGCTATTGCTGATGCTCAGGCCTCTTATATCTCTTACCTGGGCTGACACTTTAGCTACCTGATGAATGTCTGTCTTTCCAACCATACCTACCACCCCAATTTCCATCAGCAACACATATCAGAGGACACTCCCTAGAACACTGACTGCCACCTATCAAACAAGTGCCATGGCTTTATCCACATCTCCTATATTCTTCTTCCAGGTGATGCCTTATTTTCTATTCCCTACATGGTAAGAGTTCAGAGAGGACAGTTAATCTCCCAAAGTTGCCTACCTAGTGTGTGAAAGAGCTAGAACTGAAGGGTTTGCCAACATCTAAATATGACTCTGCACAACATCAAGATCCAAGAGTCATTCTCCAGCCTTTTCAGCTGCATTTATCTCCCCATACAGTGACATGCAGCAATTTATAGTTTCTTGAGCTCACAATTTGCTATTATACAGGCTGATCAAAATACATAGTGAATGCTTCATTTTTTTTAAATCTATGATAGTGAAAGATATATTGTCATTAATCCCCTATAAAAATATTATCCTTCTCTTCAAACACACTTATCCCATCTTCCTTGCTATTTTCTGCAAAGTTCTGGAAGTACTCTTTCATGAGTGTTTTTACAAGATGTGATCAAAAATACAATGAATGCTGCCAACAGCTAGTCAGGTTTATAAAATATTATATCTTCAGGCCTGGTGTGATGGCACATGCCTATAATCCCAGCACTCAAGAGGCTGAGGCAAGAGGATCATCGCAAGCTTGAGGCCAACTTGGGTTTCATAGTGAGTTCAAGGCCATCCTGAACTGCATAGTGAGAAGCTCTGTAAACAATACAAAGCAAAACAAAATCATTATGTTATGCTGTTATCCTCACCAATCTGGCACTGGCCGCCATCTTCCCTCTGTCCTCAGGTCTTTCCGCAGTGTCCGCTGTGCACCACCTTCTGTCTTTTCATCTTATGAAGACAGCATCGATTTGTGATTAAGGCCCAACCCTATTGAGCCACAAAGAGGAAGGAAGTGCAAAATGGTCTGCCAGTCACAGCTGAGTGAAGAAACAAGACCTCAGAGCAGACATTTATAACCATTTGCCGCATCTCAGAACTAACACAATCCCACAGAGCACGGTGACATTTTAATGTTATATTCCTTCCCATGTTTGGCCATCTGGTCCAGTTTCCAAAACAAGGCACACAGCATTCCTGGGGGCCAGGCGGGATGTCACCCCATGACATCAGAAAAGGGAGAAGTTATTTTGTTTGGTTTGCTTTTCGTTTTGGTTTCCTGAGACAGGGTCTGGCTATGTGGTTTAGGCTGGACTTGAAATCACGATAGCAGAGGTTGGCTTGGCAGTTACAGCAATCCTACTGCCCCAGCCTCCAAGAGCTGGGATTTCAGGTGTGTGCCACTGCACCCATGGAGAAAGGGGAGCATTTTTTAAAGACTTTCCCTCCTTCGGCTGGGACCTGATTTAGATTCTTATAATAAGGGCCCTGAGGGAACATGAATACTAAAGGGTATATGAAAGGGAATATGAAAAAGAATATGAGAGAAAGAAGTACAAAAGACACTTTAGATATTCATATTCTAAGTTGACTCATAAAAGAAATGGCAATAAGCATCATAATCATAGTTCCCTGAACCCCAAGAGGAATTCTGTGTACAGAAATATCCAAATTAGCACTCAATCAGATGCCTCTGAGGCACTGCTCACCTTCTCCCTTCAATGTGAAATTCTGTATCTACTTGGCAAAACCCTACCTTTACTTCTCCACACTCTGTGTGTCTTGGCTGAATTCTTTCATGAAGAACACAAAGAACTGGGGACACAGGAAGTGTGGAACCAGGTCCTGATGCTGCGACATTATATCTTAGGTGCATCTGTAAAGATCCTATTTCCAAACAAGGTCGCACAACTCCCAGGTAGGATTTCAACATGTGTTTCTGGAGACACAACCTCCATGGTAACAGTAAACAATAATATAATAATAACAAAGTATTAATGACACGGTGACTAACAAATTCAATACTCACTGCCAGCTGGTAAAATTCAGTTAAAATATTCCCTTAGCAATTCAGTTAAAGTTTCCCTTAGCAATTTCCCAGTACTTCCTTTCCTTCTCACAATTTAGGCAAAGATAGATGCTACATCTTTCTAGCTGTAGACATTTCTGAATATTTCTACCATAGTAGTTAGACGGGTTACAACTATCTATGTGCAGATGTCTTCCCTTCCAGAATGAAATCAGAGATTCTGTCTCATTGGCTTTTTAAGCTTATCACATTGTATCAGACTAGACTATAGCAGTCAGATATTAATGACAAGCAGTTGCTTAATTAAATTGATTGCCACATCGTCACATTGGTAAATACGATAATGCTAATAGGCTTGCATTCACTGAGTACTTATTATGTGGCTAGGAATTGTCAAATTATCAAGAACTATAAAAAGTCTAATATTGGGTGTTTTAGGGTTTTTTTCTGTATTTGCAAGCTAATAAGTTAGTCTGTCATAGTTTCATAGATGCTGGCAGAAAAAAATAGACTTCAGGGTCACAGACAAAAGGTTTTATTCCTTGTGGCACAGCAGACAGCGTGACCTTCAAGTTCCATCTGTTCTTTCTCCCTCAATGTATCCCCAGGGGTGACACGGAGATAGATTTTCATGGATGCTTTACACACAGTAGGTTTGGATCACAGTCGATGACCTTCAAGTTTAAGAAAGTACAATGTGTTAAAGCAAGTTGCTATGAAATTTGCTTAGCCTTTGTGCCAGAGGGAGATGTTATCTTAATAAAGATGATAATCCTACCTCTGCCATAATGATGACAGCCCTTGTCTCTCTCTCCCAGGGCTCTTTCCTACAAACATCTTTGAAGTATAGCCCAGAACAAAAATTAATACGAGGCATACAGAAAGGCCATGGTGAACTGTCTCCCAACAATAAGTGGTGCATATTCATTAACTCACTCTTTACTGGAAACTTATTTTATCCCCCTTTATAGATAAGCAAGCTAATAAAACTACATCCCGATATAGACAGCAAGTTGCATGACTCTTAGTGATTAGATGAGTCTCCTTTACCTGATTTACTTAAAGACTTTTAGAAAATCTTTAAAACTCAACATTTTGATATGATAGATGTTTACTGTATTCCAGGAAATATCCCACATGATTTTATCCTTCTGAAAATAACTAAAATATAGATATTAAAGAAATGAAACTGTGTCTGCTTCATGGAGGTGGTGTAGAGATAAAATGAATTAATATCTATAGTCCTCAGTCTTTGTTGAGTGAACAATCATAGGTACTATTTTATAGATTGTAAAATGAGTCAGAGAGTGATTAGATGCTCATACAAAGTTACAAATTTATAGGTACCAAAGCTGATACTTGAACATAACATGCCGGACCCCAGGATCCAGTCTCCTAAATACCATAATGTAATAGTGTGTTCATTGTGTTTGCCTAGCCTATTCTTTGTCTCTCTTCTTCATGGGACGTTACTCCCCTGGAAACCTCCCAATCCTGGCTCTGATTCCCCTTCCTCCTCGACTCTTCCTGTGCCCAGTGGATCCCAAGCTGATGATGCCTCTCCAGAGACTCCAGCGCTTCTCAAGCTGCAAGGAGCAGACTCTGCTTGCTATAAAGTGAGTCTACTGTCAGACACAACACTTCAGTGAAATGACTGAAATGGAATAGAATCAAAGAAAGAGATGTTTAGAGCTGGGGTTAGAAATGTCACAGGGCATCACCTAGGACAAGGATACAGGCTATGTGTGTGTCTGTGCTGTGCGCATGCACATCCAGAATCTCAATGTAAACTGTCACCTGCCTGGCAAACACAAGGTCCTGAGTTCAATTCCCAGTACCTAAAAACACATACATACACACACACAAAAAAAAAATCAATGTAAATTGTCAAAGATTTGAAAGCCACTGCAGTAACATTATATATGCAAAACACCCTCACTGGTGGAACCTCTTCACTTTGGAATCTAGATATCTGGTCTAAATATTTCATTTATTAATTATATTTCCTTTTCAAATTCTTTTCAAGACATAGTTAAACAACTTGATATTAAAATAGCAATTACATTACTCTAACCTACTTCCCTCCTCCCCAGTATTACTGCCACTGGCAAATTTACTAGTAGACAGAATCTACCTTAGAGCACTTTAGACAGTCACTCAAATATCCCACCTTCTTACAAGATCAAAGGTAAAATTTCGATCTTATAAGAAGCCTCTCATAATCTGGTTTATGCATTATGACAGTGTGAGAAAGTCTTTATTATTAATATAAAAAATCTATTATCTTCCCTTTCTTAGATATAAATACATAAAAATTCATTCTAATCAAAAACTTTTCCTAGGACCACACAGAGAGACTGCTGCTTAACGAAATTCTTTGTAATTTCCTTGTATATCAAGACCCATCCTGAAGGGCATATACTTAGTTTTCATCAGGAATCAGTGAAGAATCATTAATTCAGCTATAATTTGTCTGACTTTTTCCACTGTGCATATGTCCTTTGATGCAATATTCATACCCTCCAAACCCACACCTACCTTGACGAATATGGAAGATTCAAAGGAGGGAAAACGTGGCTCACCAGACCTCACAAAACATGGATACTCGAAGTTCCACACTGGCTTAACACAGGTAGTTCAAATGTGCCCTGAGCTGAGTGGGGCTCCCATTGGGTTTCAGAATGTGACTCGATTTAAGGGTAGTTAAGGTAAGGTGAAGTGATGAGACTTCAGTCGATATGACTGGAGTCCTTATAAGCAGAGATGAAACCCAGGACAGAGAGCGAAGGAAGCTGACGTGAAGGCAGTGGCTGAAGATGCCCCTCTTCAAGCTTGGGGGACACTCTAGAGGAATATTTGCAAAGTTTTGAATAAAATCCATCTCTTGCTCCAATAGTGGCCTTTCAATGAATACAGTGATCTTTGAATTGAGAGGTTCTATACACAGTGCTATTTTTTTTTCTTTTTCAGAATAAACAGAGCATCAGTGAGGTTTCATGTTGCTAGGGTGAAAGCCCCCTCTTCCAGAGAGTCCTAAAGGATGGGCTCAGCCACTTGTCCCAGGAAGCCAATGGGATAAGGGGAGTTGAAGACAGGAAAGGAAGTCTTCTCTCTGTGTGATCACACAGGGAAAATGGAGCTCTAGAGACCTAAGATCTGTCTTCAGAAATGCTCACAGCAGTCTTGGGGTTAATAGGAAAGAGGAACAAAGGCACGGGTTGGTAGTTCTCAAGTTGAGTACCCCAGGTCATCTTGGTCTGGCATCTTCTAGGTTGATCATTACCTCAGGGCATTCTCTCAGCCCAGCCATGTAGGACTTGGTTGATATGAAGAAGACCAGTACTTCTTGGGAGGTAGTTCCAGTACTGGTCATAAGATGTTCATCAATCAGACTTGGTATCCAAGGTAACTAGGAAGGAAGTCTCAAGAGAAATCAGAAGGAAAAACAGACAAAAGGCAAAATGGAGTCAGAGAAACAAAATGGACTGAGTTAGGTCAGTGACTGCAATCTCCTTCAATGTTGTATCAGTAAGGCCTAAATAGAGTGGAAATTTGATTTCCTTATGCAGTGATTTTTACAATTAGACACATTATGCCTTAGTATGGTGTAATCTCTTCTTCAGGGGGTGTTGATTACCTCATGAATGATAGCTTCAGTACTAGATGTGTATGCGTAAATAAGACATATATGCCAAAATAGTATACAATATTCGCAGTATATATTTATTCAATACATATCCTATGTCAACATAATATATATTTTTCCAGTGTAAAAAAGGTAATCATTTTCTGTATGTTATGGTACTTATACACAAATATATGTGAAAATGTAGGAGAAAGTCAGTGACATTGCTTTTATATCAAGTATAAAATTTGATAAACAGATAATTTGGAGTCAGTATGATATTGAAGAGAATAAAAATTTATAAGTGACAGGAAAGCAATCACACTGCAGTTAACTAGAGAATATGGATAATAGCACTCAAATACTAGACCTCAGCCTGTCTCCAGTTAATAGAGAGCCTCTGTTTCTTTCCCTATGGGAGGTCAGTGATGTCCCAGGAAATCAGAAGTTTTACGGTTTCTTTTATTCTGGATGAATGGATAGACAGGTGGATAGATAGATATCAACATACAGATAGCAATACTTTAAATAATTCAATATAATTAGGAGACATGGAAAATGGCAGACTAAGCTAACCAGTATGCGAGCAAGAAATTACGATCAAATAACATCAGAAAGAATTGTTTTTTAAAAAAATACCTCCAAGTCTTTACATACTGCCATTCAGTGCAGCACTTCTCTCCTGCCGAGCCATAAAGGTACTCAAAGGAAGTAAATTCTTGGCTCTGGAATCCAAGCAACTAAACTGAAAAGTCCAAACAATTTAATTAATACACATGACAAGTGAACAAAGCATAGTCTATGTCTGTCTAATTGTAAACACATTTATTAAATAAAGAAGACTTTTGTCTTTTCAAGCAAAATTTACTGTTGTTGGTAGCTCCTTCCCACTGAGCACTCAGGAGGTCGAAGAGCCCTGCAGGGATTCTCTGTGCAGCACCAGAGGCTTTCTAGGTGAAGAAATGCTAGTTGTTGCTCTGCTTCAGTGTTAGTTGTGGGAAAAAGAAAGCTGCCCTGATCCCTCCACAGTGAGCCATGCACAACATACACAAAAGAGCCACAAATCACAGACCGGAGTGTATAGCCCCATATTATCTTGCAGAGCCAACTGTTACAGGTTTACCTCCTTTTCATCTTCCAAAATTCCAGTATCATGGTCATCACTCTCTGTGATTCATCTTTTCCTCACAATTCTGCTCAAGTTCAAAATCTTCCACAAGAACTTCTTTGTTTCTTAGGCTGTAAATCATTGCAAGCTCATTAAACTATACTTATACATCTTGTTACTTAATCTTTCCTACTTCTTAAATGAGACATTGCATGTAAAATGCCTAGTGTTGGCTGAAGCTTTGTAGACATTTGATTACTCTTAATTATTATTAATAGGATGATGATCTCTTGATTCATCTCTTCTCTGCTTAGTACAGTGTTCTCATCCTCAGCAAATACTTTGATGTTACACTGTAAAAACATATCTCTTGTGCAGAAATTCAAATGAAATAATAAAAGCTGAATATTTAGCTGCTTGAACATTGAAGGATGGAACAAAACTTAGGTAATTGATAAAACATACCTGGTAAAAATATTATTATCCTACTACAAGTAACTAATTGGGACTCTATTGATTTATTTTGGTAAGCACTTCATTTATCATTGAATTGATGATGGTTAGTGATCATAGAAGGCCTCTGGGAAAATAAGAGATTCTTTTCTGAATTATAAATGCTTTCTCAGTATATTGTATGTTAACAATTCTCTTTGTGTATAACTTCTGAAACCAAAAGAATTTCAACACACAACTGCAATATGGGTTAATCCTTTTAGAGAGTTAGTGGGGAAAAAATGAATATGTCTTAGGGAGAAAAAGTAGTGAACCATAAATAACAAATAATACTTTTGCCACAAAGGCTCAATACTGAAGCAAAACAAACTTTGACCTTATAATTATGGCTTTGTGGCTACTGTGGAGATGGGAAAAATATGCCCTTCGGGGATCAAAACAAATAGAATAGGACCAAGGCAGGTAACATACAGGTAGTGTATGATAAGTTTTTAGTTAAGTCAAAACTTGCACAGTTTTATTCTTATTTGTTTTTCAGACAAGATCTTGCTGTGTAATACAGGCTGGCCTTGAACTTGGCAGTTCTCTCCTGCCTCAGCTTCCAGAGTGCTGGGATTTCAGGTATGCATCACCTGTTTCCTATATTTTTGTGGTTTTTTTTTTTCTTTTTTTACATGGATGGAGAACTCAGATTACAAAACTATGGAACATTTGGTGTAAGAAAAGAAAAATAATATTCATTTTAGGATATGTAGTATCTCCAGAAAAGTCATCTCAAATGGAAGTGGAGGGGCTGGGGATTTAGCTCAGTGGCAAAAGCGCCTGCCTGGCAAGCGCAAGGTCGTGAGTTCGGTTCCCTGTACCAGAGAAAAACCAAAAAAAAAAAAAAAAAAAAAAAAAGGAAGTGGAAATTATATGTAAAGAATAGTAGCAAATAAACAATCAGATTGCCATTATTGGTAATAAAGTATGTGAAATATCATTGTTCTTGTCTGGATTTCATATGCTGACTTTATTGTTTTAATTGATGTAAAAACTAAATAGAAAATGCATGCGCCTTGTGACCATAATGGTAAGTGAAATAAATCAGACACATAGTTTAAGTACCAAGTGGTTTCTCATACATGAGAAACCTAAATTATAAATCAAGAGCAAACTAAAAGATAGGTGATAGGAAGTGAGGAGAGAGAGCTTTCTCCAGTGGGAGGAGGAGTCAAGAGATGGCAGGAGGGGGAGAGAGGAGGGAAAGGGGAAGATAAAGGAAATAAGATGTGTTATTTACATTGACATAAGGGATGTAAACATTGTACTGATTTAGGAATGATGTAGGACCTCTGAAGGATGGAAAAGAAATATTAGAACTCTCAACCAGCTAGATATCTCATACACCAAATGTGGGTATGAGGTGGGCATACAGTGGGAGAAAACTATGATCAACCAATAAGATTACAAGAATAGGTGATTAGGTAACATTGACCCAGTGGGGAATCAGGATCTTTCCCGTGCATGGGTAGAATAAGAACCTCTCCTGGGAGGGATAGGTCAGGAGATCCTGGTCCCCCACCTGGGTGACTGATGCTTAGAATATCAATCGGCATTGTTTATTCCTTAGGGAGGTGTATAGGTGTAGGCATTCCACCTTTATCTTGAGACCTGGCCTTCACCAAATGCTCCTCCGCCTAGTTGTAATGTGTTCTTATCTTCTGCACTGACTTCTTCGAGACCTAGCCCAGTCTGACTGCCTATAATATTTCTACCTAGCTTAGCTGTCTATAACAATACTGCAAACATGTACTAATAAAGATAAAGAAATAAAGAAATAATATATACAGACAGGTCAGTCCAGGTGTTCGTCTCTAAACATATACTTTTATCTAACTAAAGTTTATTGATACATTTTAGGTATACATAATGATCACATTCATCATAGGGAATTTGCACCTGTGCATGATATCTCGATTCTTTTTCCTTTCCTGCTCCCCTATGCTCCCTTCAACCCTCTTTGCAAAAGCTTTGTTTCCATTTCTCCTTCTTTTTTCCTTTTTTTCTTTTCCCTTCCTTCCTCTAAACAGATTTTTTAAAAGTCTAAATTCTTTAACAAAAATACCTTTACCTAGTGACCATTTTAAATGTCTTTTCTTCAAGTATAGGGCAACACTACTAACTAAAGTGAATCATTTTTCCTGATAAAGTGAAATACGATTTTATAGCCAGTACTAACATTAAATTTAAAAATTATATCATTTCCTATGTGATAACTCAAGTACAGGAATTAGCATATGTATTTATGAGCCATTTTATCAGTTTTGCTTTATTTTTGTGTATTTCTGAGCCTAAGAATAATAATACCTTTAAGATCATACAATATCTTCTTTTTAGCATTTATGTCATTTTAAATAAGATCATACAAACTTAATATCTTTCTCCTAAGTGCACTATGACCTTGAATCATTTATTTGCTGTCATATAAATAAAATTTCAGATGTTCAAAATAACAATTTTTCATCTATTTAGAACATTTTAAAAATGAGAGATGAAGCAAAATAGGAGATTCTATACTTTGATAAATATGACTGAGTGGCTGGGTTTACCTGTGTAACTGTAGGCTCAAAAGTACCTCTATAGTGCCATAACTCAAATTTTCAGCCTATGGTTTTATAATTCATTAATTTACTTTTAGTGCCTTTACTATTTAATGATGCCTAAAGCTTAATGAAAGCTTACTGTATGCCAAACACTATGAAAGCATCACCTTAATCTTCACATTCACCTAATAATTGCTGTCATGTAAGAAATGAGAAAACTACAATACACAGATGGGCATTTTGCTTAAAGTCATACAGATAGAAAGCTGGAAATTTCAGTTCTGAGACCAGGTCTGTCTGACTACAGAATGCATATTCTACTCAGTAGAATTTTTCTAGAACATTCCAAGTGACAGGAATCTGAACCAGCTTGAAAAAAGCAATTGTGAAGAGAGAGTAGACTCTAGATACTAAAGATTTGAAGAAGTTTACCTCAAGGGGCAAGTAGATTTTGTGTCTCAAGCAAACTCAGAACTTTCTCTCATCTCAGACTCTGAGGCCCCATTCCCTCCTGAAGACTAACTTTCTCCATGAGGGGTGGGGTGGGCAGAGGAAGGCCAAATGTGGGCCTTCCCAGTTTGATCAAACCAGGTTCCATGTTCTTTTATGCAATCAAAGATCAACAATGGGCATGTCTGATGATGACTTTGGTTTATCTAAATATCACCAAAGAAATTAATCTTTCCTCTTCCCCATTCCCAGTAGAAAACAAGATTAGAGAAGAAGCCAGTATTAGGTGGAGTAAGTCATGGTGAGTGTCAAAGGGGCCTTGAGGTTAGTGGTGGAAGGTCAGGGAAGTAAGAATAGGAACTAAATTTCAAGGAATCTGAGAGCCAGTCAGATTCTATAACTGCCTTGCTGTGATTTTTGCAAATTGCTTGACCACTTTAAGCATTCATTTCTTTATCTGAAAGTAGAGGTGTGAAAGTTAAAAGAATTCATTCATAAAAAATATGAAGTTAGTAACAATCTCCAGAGCAAGAAGTGGGTTTTCAAGCTCAGACAGGATAATAATTTGGTGCATATTTAAATTGATAGTCTTTAAGTATTTATTTAGCCTTTATTTAATTGGGATAAAATAAGCACTGTGTATCACTTCAAGTTCAGGTTCAAAAACTTGCACACAATCATGCGGTTTAATTATGAAGTATGATAAAAAATACCATGAATATTTAAATTTAAAAAAGTATTCCAGTAAAAGACATATTGTCTTTAATCTCCTTTAAAACATTCTCTCTCCCTTCCAACACACTTATCCTACAGTTTTTTCCGCCTTCCGTAGCAGTTCTAGAAGTTCTCTTTCATGAGTGTCTTTAATTGCACTGTCATGCCTGCCTTGATGTAGCGTTGATTCAAGATATTTATTTTCCATGGTCATTTTGACTTGGAAGAAAAGCCAGAAATCCCAGAGTGTTAGATCTAGGATGGGGACACCCTGTGATGTTTTTATTTGCAGAAATTGCCTTAAACCTTTTGAATTGTTCTGGTTTTTTTCTGGGAGAATAAAATTCCAGTTTCTTAGAATAACATCTGAGAATTTCTACTCTTTGACATTTGCACTTTCCACCAGGATCATTCCTCCCTGCATCCAGTATTTTATACAATATTCCAAGGGAAATAGAAGATAATTGAAATTTCTGGAATGCCCCATGATGTTCTCTTTGTTTCATGTTCCTGTAACGATCTGCTCCCCACTCTCTTCACGGGAATCATTTTTACTCACTGTTTATAGCTCAGCTACTAAGTGACTACTTTCCACCTGACTGTCCTCTGCAGCAAGCATATGCCGATGCCCATAGCTGGTACATGTTCATCTTTAATGGGTACACGGCTACCTTTCACGGTCACCTGGACTAACTTGAAAGTAGAGACTGCCTTTGTTAGCCTTTGTGTCTCTGATTCTAACCTCAGTGGTTGGCAAATGGCTGAGTGAGTCACTTGCTTGTTCAATAAGTAACCTGAATGCTTGGATTAACTAATTTCTACCTAATCCCTAAAATGAAGTAGTCTTACAAAAGACAGAGTGAGGAGATGATAATAAATATAGGCAGGTAATTTATCCAATTTGTTAGTAATTTGGAATATAAGCACAGCAAATTGTTGAGGGTACTGTATTTCTTTAAAATTTTCACTATGTGTCTTCTGTTGAAAATGATGTGCTAGCCTGCGTGTGTAGCAAGAGGTACAGCACTTACCTTACACATACAATGCTGTGGGTTCTATCTTCACTACTGCAAAAATAAAAATGCCGTGACTCAATATTAATAACTTCTGCAGAGTCATGCACTCCCCAGAAACATGCTGTGCTTCAGTGTCTTTGCCTTTGTCTCAAGCAGTTTCCTCTGCATGACATTTTTTAGTCAAAGTCTTCCTCTACTTAGCAATATCTGATGCTACTGCCCTTGTCTGAATTTCCACAGAGCTTATCAAATACAGCACTCACTTGATTTTCATCTGTATGAATGTTGGAATTTGCCATGTAGACCACAACTTTCTTGAGTACAAGAAATAATTTTTATCTTTGTCTTCCTCGATTATATGTTCCCCGCTAGGCACAGTGGCTGACCATAGTGGTTGATACACAATGAAGATACAATGATACAATGAATGTTAGTTAGTAAAGACTGCTAACTTATTGGTTAAGATCAAGGGTATAATGTGTAGATATTTAGAATTTATTACATTAGATATCAGGAAAGAAAACTTAAGAATTAAAATTGACTTAAAAAGCTTTCCCAGTTCATAAAAAAGCATGCATAATTTGCTCTACTTTGAATTCCCACATTGTGGAGGAATTACCACAAACAGCGGTTTGAGACAAAATAGATGCATTATCTTACAGTTCTGAAGGTTAGTGTTTTGCAATGGACCTCATTGGGCTACCAAGATGTCAGCAGAACTGCATCCCATTTGGAAGTTTATAGACTGCTTTTTCTGCTTTTTCCTGTTTCAAAAGCCCACTTACATTCCTTGGCTTGTAGTCCCATTCCTCTGCTTTCAGAGCTAGCACTGTCAGGCGAAATATTTTTCATGCTTGTCTCCTATCTGGATTCACCCTCCCTTTATACAGACCCTTATGATTATATCAGGCCTTCCGAGATAGTCCGGGACCTCTCTACCTCAAGGTCAGCTTTTCAGCAAACCATTCCTTCTGTAACCTCAATTCCCCCTCTAATTAACTGAACATACTCATAGATACCAGGGATTTGAACATGGACATATCTGGTGATTAGGACCACCTCAGTGGTTTTTAATTAAAAACACAAATAAAACTCAACCACAAAAGAGAATAATTCTCAGACTCTTTTTTATCTGCAAGGATTCCTCAGGTATTATATTAGTGTCCCCGTATCATTCGCAGGAGTTTTGAATCCTTCCTGCCAAGTAGATGAAGGCACAGTTTTATAGGGAAAGAACAGCAACAACAAAATCCCCATCTTCCTGAATTATGCCACTAAGAGGAAGCATTGACATGATTCTCCTAGGGGCTGGGGATTTAGCTCAGCGGGGGGCTGGGGATTTAGCTCAGCGGCAAAGCGCCTGCCTGGCAAGCGCAAGGTCGTGAGTTCGGTTCCCGGTACCGGAGAAAAACCAAAAAAAAAAAAACAAAAAAAAAACAAGACATGATTCTCCTACAAGCAAGTTTGAACTACTCCAAGATGACCTATTCTCTGTCTAGCCCAAGACTGAAATTCTATGGATAGGTTTTAAACAGTGGCATTGATTGCTGAGTTTCTGACTGATGGTTTCCACCAATGTGACCCATCCACACTAAGATACTTTTTTTTAAGTGAAAAATGTGAGTGTGGCTATGATAATATTCTGTCTCCAGTTTTTAAGTCATTTGTGATTTAAAACAGATGGTCTTTATTGTGGGACAAGAAGTATTTATACAGGAATTTAAAACTGTAAGTGCAATGAATTTTGCTTTCAGAGCTTCATTTCAGGCATCAGTGAGAGTTGAGAGATCCACCCCCTTACTCTCTTTGTCATACAGGGTTTGGACTTGGATCTAAATCTAAAGACCTCCTTTAAACTCTGTATTCCATCTCACATCATTAAAATTCTTTCTTTCTTTTTCATTTGTTTATTTGTCTGTTTTGGGACAGGGTCTCTCTGTACAGTTCAGGCTGTCCTCGAGCTCCTCGAGCTCACTTTGTAGCCCATTCTGGTCTCAAACTTGCAGTGATCCTCTTGCCTCAGCCTCCCAAGCGCTGATATTACAGGCATGCACCACCGTGGCTGGCTAATTCTTTCATGTTTGACATACGTCATTTTTACCATATCAATCATCATTTTCTTTTTTTTCTTTTTTTTTGGTTTTTTTTCCAGTACCAGGAATCAAACTCACTACCTTGCGCTTACCAGGCAGGCGCTGTGCTGCTGAGCTAAATCCCCAGCCCCCTCAATCATCATTTTCATATAGGAAAAAGTGTCTGATAATTGTCTTTTATACTAATGTTTAAAATCTGTTTATCTCATTATGTAATATTGTCTCAAATGTAAAACAATAATGGTTTAATATGAACTTCCAGTTTCATGGAAAAATGTCCCTTTCCTCCTGACTTTCTATATTAAGACAGACTGTCGAGATATAAAATAATATTCTCTATTATATAATGATTATCAAATATAATTTAAACTCACAACCTTAAAGTAAATATCATTTCAGATGTGCATCCCTTTTAAATGATACACTTATTCTAGGTAGTCAAATTTGTAGTATCTAGTCCTACAGAGAATCAAACTATTCACATTTATTTTTGACAAGGCAAAAGTCTCACTTGACAAGAGTCTTGCTGTTGAGGATGAATACAAAAACCTGTATTCTGTGTGTTTAATATCTCCCACAAATACTTCAAATGCTCTTGTGCCTGCGACACACTGTATTTACTGATGAAAAGTGGGACAGACACACTCACTCTATCCTTCTTTTTCTTTTTTCATATTTGAAGAATGAGCCCCAGAATGTTTTGGCAGAAGTTAGAACTGCATTATTCTCCAGACAGACTTCTAGATTTCTTCTTTATGATGTGGCTACAGACGCTGCCACATGCCAGACCTGACAAGATGTGTTTCAAAGTGCTTATAGTTCATCATCATATAGTTTATCATGGAAACAAAAGTGATTAGCAAACTCTGATATAGCCATATTTCAATAGTATTTCTTTCTAATTCCTTCAGTAAACTATTGTCAAATACCAGTTTTATGCCAGGCACTAAGCAAAGGAAATGACTCTTTAGTTTCTTGACTGAAAGAATCTCAGTGTCATGAACAAATATGAATAAATAAGTACAAAAAAGTAACATTTTACACATAAAAGTTCCATGAAATATATGAAAATGTCCTTGCTGTGATGCTTTTGTGGTAGATTATGTTACTTTGCAGACTCCCTGTCCCCTCTCCTAGAAACGACAAGGGATTTCTTTCATAACCTGTGGATGTCACGTGTGCCAATGCTACCTGATCTGCTAATGAAACACAAATGACGTATATCACATAGGAACAGAAAATGTGGAAGCCACAAGTGCTTTATCATGTTCTCTTTCCTTCTTCCACTTTGACTCTTAATGTTTTCTCGCACTGAAGTAAAAGTTGCTTGAGAAGACACAGAGCTGAGCTGGAATGATCACACAATGTGAGAAATGAACCTTTGCTTTGGTGTTTTTTCTTGTTATTAGCTACATTGTCATTGTTTTTACTGGCATAGATCTGTAGTACGTTATGATTACATTTGTCACGGGGAGTTGGCACACGTATATGATGTTTCTCAATTTCTTTTTTTAACCCCCTTCCCTTCACCTCCTGCACCTCTCAAACCTTCGCTGATGAGCCCTAAATGGTGAGAGTTGTTATTACAGCATAATCCATCTCAGCCACGCTGATGCACCTCCTGGAACTGTGTAGCATGTGTTTCATTTTTCTTCCGGTACTAGGAATCGAACTCACGATCTTGCGCTTGCCAGGCAGGCGCTTTGCCGCTGAGCTAAATCCCCAACCAGCATGTGTTTCAAGGAAGTGAAATTGTAACACCCCATGAAGTAACACTGGAGCCTCTGAAGTAACAGAGGGAGCCATGGGTTCCACCTGAAATGCAAAGACTGCACTTGCTGGTAGAAGGTTGGACCAAAGCTGCTGGAACTGAAGATGCAAAGGAGAGGAAGTAGGAGATAAGAAAAACCAGGTACAACGACAGAAAGTAAAGCACTGCTTAGCTGTGAGGCTGTTACAGGTATCCAGGCAAGTGATCTGACTTTTTGCAAACCTTGAAATTAGTTTAAATACCAGCATATCTAACTGGATCATTAACACTAGGTTTCTGACATAGTTCCTGAACTCTGTGACAGAAATACTTCTATCATAGAAAGAAGCATGAAATAGACATGAAATACAAGCCAAAAAAACTCAGGGCAAGATGACAAACCCCTAGTGTCCCATTATTTCTGCTCCCCTGCATAATTATTCCATCCCTGCCTATTGATGGACTGCAGCATTTTGCATTGGCAGCTTATCTGGTTTGAAGCTTGTGGCTTGGTTTGCATTCCTTTGGGGCTCAAGGACCTTAAAAATTAAACAAATGCAGAACAGCAGATAATTTATACATTTTAATGCAATTCCTCTAAAGTGGAGCCTGGGAATATTTTCACACTTTCCAAATGGTTGTAAACTACACCCCAAATTTAGAGCTATTGCAATAGAGGGATAAACAACTATTTTCAATGCATGTATTTCAAGGTAGCCCTTTGGAGGCAACATTAGGCATTCATTTTCAGTCATCCATAATATCTATTAGGGATTGGATGCAGGAGCTAAAAACCATACACATTCAAATCTCTCAGGTAAAATAACACAGAATTTGCATATGTTTTACTCAGGTCCTCTTGCTTACATTAAATCTAAGTTACTTATAAGGCTCAATACTATGTGAATGTTGTGTAAATAGCCATCACAATATATTGTTTGGGGGTAATGACAAGTAAGACAAATCAGTATGTGTTCAGTGTAGACACATTTTTCATTCATGGTTGAATCCGAGAGTGTGGAATCTTCAGATGCTAAAGCCAACTGTATCCGCTATGTCTTTGGTCACTCTAGTTGCTGAAATTGTCAAATAGATGTCAGAGATAATGATAGATTGTGGAGAAGGACATTCTTTGATTAGAATGCATTAAAGACACAATGATTTGTTTAACCTTGAGTTTACGAACCTCCTGTCTCAGCCTTTGGAGTGCTGGGATTATAGGTGTGTCTTAGGTGCTGGGATTACAGGCGTGTCTTGGATTACATGTGGAAAAGGATAACCCTTTGATTATCCTTGCTAAAACATTTGGTATTCGCCTATAAGTACTAGCTACGCCCTAGGTTCTTGTTCAATAAAAGGTCACTGAGATTGGTAATTGAGGCTGCAGTCCAAGAGGCTGCAAGCCCCCTGATCCCAGACTTTTGCCTCCTTTGTTTTTCTTGTTGTTCTTTTCCTTATCATCCACGGGCACCTCATTCACAGGACCTGACACACTGGATAGAACGGCATATTGAGATTTGTAATCAGGGCTA